AATAATAATAATTCACCATGCTTGCTTGGCTGGTAGTTTGTGATGTTTGTCATCAATGTTCCGTTACATGTCATCCTGATGTTTGGCATCATTTCAGAACCAGAGAAATGCTGCAGGAATCCATCAGAGGTCATAAAAAATAAAATTATCTTTGTCTTGAAATGGTAATCAACCTGCTGAGAGACGTTTGGGACTTACTGTTTTTTCAAAGACAAAACTGCAGCCTGGAGGAGAATTTCCATGTTGTTTCATCTTACAGTGTTGACTACAAAATTAAACAAAAAAAGACCAATTGAAAGTATTGTTTCCCCTTTTTCCACCTCTTAAAAACAAATTAATGAACAAACTAAAGGGCTTGTTCTACCCTTTCCATTTATAAAAACTTGCATCTATTTTTTGATTTTAATATTCTTGTCATTGCTTACGTAATTAGCTCATATTTTGGCCTCTTATTAATTTTCTTCACTCCAGAAATCCAACAGTCAGAACCCGTCCAGGAGCTGGTCCAACTGCAGCTGACATTTCTGACGAGGTCATTAGTACAGAAGAGGCCTTGTTTGAAGAGAAAAAAAAAGATAAGAATAATGGAATGAGAACGGCTTTGAAAAAGACTGCAGAGATCTGACTGAACGTGCACGTTCTGCGCGGACCTTTGTGAGCTGAATCAGCTGGAAACAGAACCATAAGGATCCACAGGGAGAGCAGCATCTTCATGACAGCAATATCACTGAGAGCAGATGGAAAACAAACAGTCAAAAACAATGTCCTTGTGTGAAAGCAGAACACAGCAAGAAAGAGCTAAACTTTTTTTTTTCAATTTATGAAACCTGAAAGTTGAAATTCAAATGCCACTAAAATCGCCACAAAGCTGTGATTCTTTTAATCAAATACTAAAGCAACAATGATTAAAACCAGARGGTTAGAGGGGACAGTAGCAGGCTGGAGCAGTCTGAACACCTTATATCACTGTATGTGCTCCGTTTAGGCTGCCCAAATTGAAGTTTATGTGTCTATTGTTTTGTGTCCCCTCTACCAGTAACTCCTAAGGTGAGGTCTGGATTCCTCTTTGGGTAAGAAAAAAACAATCACCTTAGACATGAAGACATAATAAAAAACAGTCATTATCTTCTTTAATTGGTTTATGAGTGATGCTTGGACAAGTCACCCATCAATAGTTGCAGGTCTAGACTGGGTCAGAAGCTGAAAGCTGTAGGAACCACTTCCCTGTACCATCAGAACTTGACAGWCGGTTTGAAGCTGAGGACTTCAGATACAAGTCTAAACTGCAAAAATAGTGCGAGACAGAAAACACGCCAGATGTGTCAACATCGGAAAACGTTGACCTCGGCTTTGACTGTATCGATCGAATGCGTTAAAGATGTGTCATCAGAGCTTCTGTTACATGAKATGAAGCAGCTCCTTGTGTGTCAGATTAGTGCATCTAAAGTGTGACTGTGTCACCACAGATACAAAGGCTGTCCCTTTCACTTCTGCAGATAGACCAAACCAAATATCTTCATACTTGAACACCTTTAGAATCAAACAAAATAAAAGGCAAACTAGTCCTTCGAATTTCACAATACTGTTATTGATGAGCAGAATTATGGAAATAAAATACCTCATTGGTCTTGGTAGTCGGTGGTTAACAAGACGACGATCATCATCACCTTCTCCTCTGGACTGATCTACTGGATTTCTGTCTTTTTGAACCCCTTGCTGTCCGTCTACTTGTATAGAACTGTCTGTGTCTCTGGTGCAAACTCTCACTCACACTCATCCCTCCCTCTCTCTCTCTCTCGCTCTCTCTCTCTCTCCCCTCATTCTCATCGCTCTGTCTTCTTTTAAGTGCCCAGTGACATTTTCCACTTGAAACCACAGCTTGTGTCTATAGGCCTCACAGGAAGCTTCGTGCAGCGGTGAGTAACAGTGAGAGGGGCCGGGCCGGGTCGGAGAGCGAGGTGACGGTGATGGGAGGGGATGTAGTGTTGGTGGGGTTTATCTTCCAGCGCAGCCTCGTCCTCCCTCTCCACCAGKAGCAGTCACGACCTGGGCCCCCCATCGCACACGTCAAGGATTATAATAATTGTACTAAAAACGAGAAATACAAAAGCAACACCACATCCTGTTTCAATCGCGACATAAAAACAGTGGGGTTGTATGCAGAGAAACTCGTCCTATGAAGTGGTTTGAATCAGCGAAACGTGGCTTTAAAAAAAGATTCAAAAAGATAAAAGAGGCTAAAATCTACCAGATTTAGAAGCAGTGTGTTTGTGTGTGTGTGTGGTGGGGGACATGATGTCCTTCTCTGTTAAAACACAGAGCTTTACGGAACTAAAACCAACGTTGTTACAGGCACAACTACTGCAAGATGCACACAAACTACTGTGGTGTTTATGAAAGGGGAAAGAGATTGAAGGTTGAAGCAACACGATTCTCATCAGCCATTGGTTATCAATCATTTTGCTCCTACAGAGGCAAACTTCAAGTACGGTCTGTTTAGGTCAATTGAGTTAAAAGAGACATATGTTTTAAATCCTTCTTTTTCATTTTTAAATCATTCAGTGGGGTCTATATAAAGTGGAACTMCAACGCTTTGGATTGAATTCCTCCTTATTGTAACTCCACAAGCCCTTCTTTCATCCCTTTTCTGAGGTGTGTCTCAGATAACTCGTTTTGAGGCTGCCTCTTTAAATCCAAACTGTGTTCTTCACACACAGCCACCCTCCAGCTTCCAGGGTAGTCCATTCTAGTTTGACAGAGGGATTTATGATTATATAGCGGCGCAGAAACTTTGTTTACAAATTGATTAAAAGCTGTCAACAGAAGACTTTTCCATCCAGCCTTACATGTTGGAGCCAGAGTCTGACCCAGAGATGGAGGAGAATTAAAATGACCAAACTGTAGTTGTTTAGTCCAGACCTTATTTGGCAGTTTCCTTATAAATTATTTGACATATTTCAGAAAAAGTCATAGAAAATAGACAAAATGCATTGAAAAATATGACCCAAACAGAGTACAAATATTTCTACACAGCACCAGGAGAAACTAAATTAAACTTTTCTGCCTCATAAAGACTCCGAGTACACAACAAAATGTATTGAACGGCTGACAAAAAGGGGTTTGTATCAAATGTCCCCCTTAAATATAAAAAAAGTCTGTAAAAGAGAAACAACTGCAAGATTTTGAAAAGGTTTTTAACCTAGTCGTCAYCTTTTTGTACCGAAAGGTCAAACTGTGAGTGCAGTGATTACGACACAACAACTCCTAAGAATCAACTCAGTTTTGGAGCCGAAATGTTCAGTGAGGCCGTTGTGTAACACGCCTCCATTTGTCTCATGTAGGTGTACAAACCACAAAATTTTCACACATACACACACACACACACACAACTCAGAAACTGTTGTAACACTGCATGTTTGATCTCTGGAGTCGGCAGCGTCGTAGTCTGTCTTCTGGATGTGGATAAGTTTTGCAGTGGGCCAGAGGGTGATCTGATGGCAGCTGCCAACAGTTCCTGCGCTTACTGAGGTGTCAGCATCAGCTTGAGATGATGATGGTGGAGGTGCGTGTGTTTGTTGGGGGGAGGCAGGGGCTTTACGTTTAAGTGTGCTGCAAAAGCTGCAAGAAGAAGAAGAGCACACAGCACTCACCAAAATGTCAAGGTCCGCTGTGTCTGAGGCGGGAAGCCGCTGAAAAGACCTTAGTGACATATATGTGTGGGTTTGTGTGTGGGAGGGGGCGAAGGAAGGGTGCATAGTGGGGACGAGGTGTGAACTGTGTGGTGGTCGACAATCAAAACAAGTCAGCTGTCTTTTGTCTTTTACTAAAAAGGAAATAAAGGAATAACAAGGGCTTCTGCTCCAATTAATACAAATGAGATGCATATATTTGTGGAGGTTTGCTCAAAAGGAGCAAGGTGATTGGTACAGTTAGCATGGAAACCTTTAGGTTAGATGCAGACTGAGTCGTGACAACAAACACAACAATATGTCCCTCTGTGTTTAACAATGACTCATCAAATGCAAAAGTAAACTACAATTCCCGCAAGTGCAAGCTGAGGTGACTAAGATCAATATCCCGTGAAGGAGACTTTATTTTAAGAGATGGATGTTTTACTTTGCATCTAAAAGGGCAGCATATCTGCACGCATGCTAGCAGCTAGGTCAAACTTTGTTTACTAAGTACAGCTATGCTAATTACTCGTTAGCACATGAGCTAACAGAGACAAGGCATCGTGGCTTCATGGATACTAACAAAAATTTAATTTACAAAAATTACATAAATTTATTCCATAAAATTAAATGAATCACTGCTCTTGTTAACCTACTTGGAGACACTTCAGCACTTAGTGTACGACAGCAAACTTCAAGCAGACCCCCTTGACCTCCTTTACTTGTCTACATTAAGAATGGATCAGTTTGCTACAACAGTCTTGACAGGAGAGGCGGCCTGTTGTGAAAATAACGCAGGTTTCAGTGGTTTCTTACGAAACCACCTTCATTCTGCTGCCTTTCACACACTGAGCAATAAATATCAGCTGCTGTTAGCATTTAGCAGCTCAGGTTTAGTGGGTTTGAACGTTTGACCTACAAGCATCAAAACTTTGATGTGAAAGATTTGCACCATGAACTCATTATCTGGAGGCATCACTTCAGGTGCAGTGTTGTACCTTCATCTCTGACCTATTTGGACGTTGTTCTAGGTCTGGGGTGTCCAACTCAGTCACACAAGGGGGTCAAAACTCAGAATTTGGTCCAACTTAGCCAATTTCTGTTAGGGTTATGAAACAAGTTATTTCTACGGAAATACAAATTACTTTCTCTAAATTAGATATTATGTAGTAGAACATACATAGCCTAACATGTAAAGAAAAAGATTTGTTTTAAGTATTACCTTTGGGGCCACATTAAATGTTAATGAGGGCTAAATTTGGTCGACGGGCCTAGAGTTTAATACTTGTGTTCTTAAATTTGTCATTAATTTTCTTCTTGTTGCCACATCCAGGGAGGTTTTCTACAGCCACGTGGACGTTAAACTTCTGAATTATGTGTAGCTGTGGTCACAGTCACTTTAACATGCCTGACAAAAAACAAAACAAAAAAAAACAAAACTCGAGACACTCTTTTCTTAACTGTTTGTGATCCATGTTCAGTGTGGTARACACCATGTTACCAAACTGCTCTGTCACTACAACTTTTATTGGGCAGACAGTTTGCTTCCCTAGGGACCCTCAGTTTACCAGGTGTTCATAGATCTAAGGATACCCCTTACCTTTKCTCACTCCTCCGTCTCTGGGGTTAGGGTTAATGCATAAACTCTGTCAGAATAAACCATCCAGATGATAGATTAACCTGCTCGAGTGAGAGATTGAGGATTAACTCATCATCAAGTTACATACATCTTAGGGGTACATCCCCTTTTCATCGTGGTTACAGACCTAAGTAGCCTAGTCACAGGAATTTAACCTTGAAACCCCCAATTAACTGTAACCTCCTCCTTCGAAAGTGTGCACTTGTTACCAGCTGAGGATTAGTTTAGTAACTAGGATTTTAAGTTACTGGGATGTTATTTAAAAATTATTTTAACTTTTCTAAGGCAACCAGTCAGATCAACCATTAATTGATGTTATGAACTCAGATCAAATCTCATTTAACACACATGGAAGAAAAAGTTAACTCACAATGGAATCATAATGAGTCGAATGTCCACTCAAGAATGTAAAAATTTATAATGCTTTAATTTGTATTAATAGCTTTAGCAGGAGTAAGCAAATTGCATTTTTATACAGGGTTACATCAAAATCACAATCCTTGATTAAAATAAATCCTATTCTGTCCCTATAGGCAAAATTTCTAAAATAAAAATCAATAAATATAAAATGAATTAAAAAGGTGTTTCGTTCATACATTCATGGCTGATTGAATTGAAGCAGAGGAAAGTTGAGAAAAACTGTCAAAATTAGTGAGCAGCAGTTGGGATTTGTCAGCTCTTCACACCTTKGCTCTTCAGCAATTTTTGCTGCTCATTTTGAGCACAAGACAAAAGTCATATTTCAATATGTTGTACGTGCGCGATGGTGGAGCTTGACATGGCGGCTCACCTCTGCCCCTTTCTGCTTTGTTACCATGACTTCATTTTTACATTAAAGTCTCTCCTTTTAGCCCTTACACTACTGCAGAACCTGTTTRTACACAATAGTACAGCTATGCAGAGAACAAGTTTTCACAAGATGTTACATGTGGTTCATATTATCTTTCAGCACAAGGAGCCGCACTGCTCCTTGTGGCCTTTTACACATATATCTTCTCTCCCTTACTAACACACTTTCACAGGTCATACATTTAAACATTTTGATTACATGAAATACATGAGGTAAATACATACATCAAGTGATTATACATTAAAGGATTATATCATTAATCATGAGTAAAATGTACTCCTTTACACAGAACCATCAGAATTACTTCAATGAAAACACACTTCAATCTTTCCTAGTTACCTGTGGTTATTATCAGAGCTACTTCATTTCACACTTGGTTATTGATTACTTATAAATCAACTATTAGAATCACTTGTAACTTACATGGTCTGTGTAGCAGCCCATCACCTGATTATCTTTCAATAAACCATGCGTTTTCAAGAATAATCAGTATAAATAAGTAGCGCTTATTTAAAGACATTTTATATAAAGATGTTCATAACTATTTTCTCTTACTCCTCATCTTCATGGACAGCGCTGGTTCCACATCTGTCGGATCGTCTTCTATATCCGCTTCCAGTATATTTACGGCCTTCTTTGACAACTGATTACAAGATTGAAGACACCTGGGATTGTCACAGTTGAGGAATTGAACCCATGAATGTAGACTTGGGGAATTCATAAATAATTTAACTTAAAAAAAGAGCAACTTACAAAAAAACTGATGATCACTATGAGGCAGCAAGAAAAGATGCAGGGAGGCAGCAGACCAAACAATGCTCCACTGGTGTGCTGAGGGATACAAAAGACTGATGAGTTGAGTGTCTGCAGCTGTGGCTGATGACTGGTGACTAAAACAAAGAACTGAATGCAAAAACCACAAAACATACCCGCACAAAATAATAAAATAAAATAACCAGAAAGGGGAAAAAATGTTGAATTATAAACACAAAGTACTATCAAAAAGCCACAAATCCTGACAGTTACAGGACAAACCTCAACATGTTCCCATGGCTCAATTATTTTCAATCTTTTCTAGGGGTACCCACACTGATTTTCAGTATTTTATGGTGATTTTAGAGACTGCTGTTTTTCCTTTCTTCAGCAAAAAGGCACAAACGCATCAACATGTATAGTTTTCTTCACACCTGCTGTACGTCCAAAGTCACGCTGTAGGTTTCACAGAAACAGGACCTCTTTTTGTGGCYTACTTGTTTTTCCATTTCCGTTAGAAACTTGTTCAGTTTCTGCTTGAGCATCTTTTGTCCACTTAACGGCAAAGAAATGTCTATAGAAATGCAAGAAAACAACCAGATCAAATCAAACAACAGTAAAATYTTGTTCTATAAAAAGAGGGACAGAAACTGTTTGTTTCTGGTCTGAAACCAGCTGGATTTAAACATAAAAACTACCAGAAGCAGGCAGAAGAATGAAACACAGACTGTGTTTTAGTCATCAGATGTGGAAATCTGTGATCACAACAGGTTGAGATGAGGCAGCAACAYGGTCGACACACAAACATCCAGCACAGCACGACATCAAAACAGAAAACTGACAACAGAAAAAAAAAATACTTCACACATTGCTGCAAATAGTAAAGGACTGGTCTTCTCACCTCAATACTTGCTGGTTTTCCGTCATTTTGGTCAGGTGAGGTCATACCGCGAGGACAGCAGGCAGAGGTGAAGCAAAAACAACAGGAAAGGTGTTGCATGTCTGCAGAATACCATGAAAGACACCCTTAAAGTGTTACATCAGGTGTCACCTACAAGCCATAAAAAGATCAAGGGTGTTTGTGAAACAATGAAAGTACACAACAGAACTATTTTTTTTAGTTCCTCTAACAAGCCTGGAGATCTAGAACATACATTTTAACATAAATTCTAGATGTGCAATAAACATCTTACCTGCTGTGGTTAATCATGCAAATGACCTCAGGTTGGAGAAACAAGTTTTATTTTCCAGCCAACAACTTAACAGCTGGTTTAGATATTGCTAAAACCAAAATGGATTTCTGCAGACTTAAAACAGCTCCTATCTCCAAAATATTACAGCATTTCATATTATAAATAAATAAAAATGCAGGAAAAGAAAGTTTTGAAAAGTAGTTGCTATAGCCTTTACTCGCTCYTCATTCTGTTGGAAAAATGTGTTGTTCAAAATGGTATGTCCGAATAAAACAGGAATCCGCTCGATTTCTTCTTTAAAACTTTATTTTCAGTCTTCTGACTCCAATCAGGTACATTCAGCGCTCAGCAGCACAGGCCTCAGTAAGACCTTCGGCTGAATCAAAACAGAAAAGGACTCTGCTCTGAGTAGACACTCTGCAAAACACTGACAATTCCTACCACTGTAATAATGAATTTAGCTTATAATGTACCTTTCTTCCTGGTTACACCCTTGGAGGTGTTACCTTTTACGTCAGAACGAACTCAGTTTTGTTTAGGCTAAAAGAAAGAACACATGATAACACACCAACTCTTTGTCTGTTTTAACCTTACAGGCTGAAATGATCAGAAAGTATAAAATACAAAACTGAATCTAATATTCAATTAATCAGTTACAAAATTTCTTCAATTCTGAWAAAAAAATGTATCAATTAAAACTCCACTCAATGAAGAAATTCACCTTCTTTGGTTTTCTTTCAACTTTATTTCACAATTTTAGACCATTGATTTATTGGTTTTTTTGTTACAATACCACACACAATGTCAACCGGCTAAAACAATATAAAACATTACATTGACACTTTTCTCTTATTTATATTATTTACATGTGCTCATAGGTTCAGAGGCAAAAATAATAAAAAAAAAACCTTGGGCCTTCACTCTACGACAAAATTCTAGAGACTCTCGGATAAAAAAAAAATACACATTTATCTTTGCTATTCTGAGATTAAAGTCATGACGTCAAGATTAAAGTAGAAATACACATAAAGTCAAAATGTATTTCTAGAACTATTATTACTTTGAGACAAAAAGGGAAATAAAATTTTAATAGTTTTGGATGAATAAGTGATTTATTTTGACTAAAGAATTTTTAAGCTCATCAACACAATGTAAGGAATTTTAATAGTGTCTTAAGTTTAGGTTGTAGAACAAGTTTAAATAAAACAAAAAACAAAAAGCTCTTGGTGTTGACTTTTTCCTTCAAATATTTCTATTTTAATCTCAACCGTCAGACTTTAATCTGAAAACAGTGAAACAAATGATTATTTTTTTCTGAGTGACTATAAAACTTTATCTTAACACTCTAGTGCACTTGTTTGTTTGTTTGTTTGTTTGTTTGTTTTTTGTTGTTGTTTACGAGACTTTGCTGCTGCTGGACCGGTTCCCAGATAATACACATTTATGGTCATTAGTGAAGTATTTTTTTTTTGGTTAGAACGACCGGTTTCTTAAGTTTCTTATCCCAACATGATCTTACAGCATCTTTGGAAGAAGACGGCATCCCGATGAAGAATGTGTGTGAAGTTCAAAACTATTACTGACTTTCAGGAGGATCCACAAACTAATCTGTACACTGAATACTTTCAACTTCCTGTTCCTTCTCCACCAGATCAAGATGTTCCTCCTCAAATAAGGAGCCACAACCGGCTGGACTGTCTTTGACCTAAACTACGTATTTTTCCTTTGTGAAAATACGGGGGAAGAATCAGCGTTCCGTAATGCTCACCACAGCTTCGCCACAAGCCTTGCAGGCACACTCGCGAAAAATGTAACCAAGTTGTCTCTTCCCTTTGTTCAAGACTGGAAGGAGGTTTGATCGATTGGGCTTTACACGAACTGGTTTGGACACGTAGTCTTCTCTGTACAGCTGTGTCGACACGTTAATTGTGATATTAAGTCACGTTTAGGGTATGGATTATACAGGAGTTACAAAAATCAATACATCGTAAAAGAGCGGTCAAATCAAAAATAAATCTATTGCATTTTGTTTAAAATGAATGCAGAGAGCCAGGCTTGTATGTCATCTGTGTAACTTAATAATAATAATAATAATAATAATAATTCAAACGTTGATCTTATTGGAGTGGTCCTTCAGGTGCTGCCTGCCTCCTGAGTTACCATCATCCCTTCAGGCTGCTCAGGTGGGACTGGGGGAAGAGCGGGGGCAGCTCTCCTTTTTATGTGGGGGCAAACTTCTTGGCTTGAGCTCTGACCCGCTTTTCATAGTCCATCCTGTTCTGACTGGAGGAAAAATATAAACACAAACCAGAAATCGATGAGGACATTTAAATTTCGGGTTGGGGCAGGTTCTATCTTTAAACAACCTACCAGTAAATCGTGTAAGCCTCTGCTTGTGCTGGGTCCTGAATGTTGGGCTCATTCAGCAGCTCCTGGATGCCCAACAGGATCTAAACATAAGAAAGATTTTATCATGGAGGTTTTAAAGTCTGTGTGTTAATCATTGGATGAACATCTACAGCTGACAATAAACCTGCAGAGCATGCATGATTTAAAACAAGAATGTTCAAACCTGTTTGATAGTGATGGCCGGCCTCCAGTCTTTGTCCTCCTCCAGGATGGACAGACACACGGTACCTGACGGGTAGACGTTCGGGTGGAATATAGGTGGCTCAAACTTGCCTGATTGGAAACATTGGGGAGAAAAAAAGAAAAAAAAAAAAGAAAAGAAAGCAGGAATGTAAAAATCTGAAACAAAGCAACAAGTCAGTAAGATAAATCCATGTAGGTATTGTATTACCTCATCAATAAGTGATTCACACAATGTCTCTAAAACACAAGAGGAGCTGTGAGAGCACAGTTGTGGAGAACTTGTGTAATAAAAAAGTGCAGTTTTTTCCCCTTGCATGTTGCTTCCAGCATAACATGTATGATTATCAACTCATCTAAAGGTTTTTGTCTGAATGATTCACATTTTGATGTAAAAAAAAAAAAACACAAACCGTTTGCCAAAATACAAAGATTCAAAGACTATAACACTACAGGTAAAAGTGACCTAAATCTATTTTTTGGCCCATATGCCACTCAGGACCCACATTTATCAAACTTCTTAGAATTACTCTTAAGAATGCTGTGAAGAGTGGACTTCAGTGTAAAAAAACATTCTTGGCTAAAAACAGAGAGTAAAAGTCAGTTATCAAGCTTCTCAGTCTCACTTTAAGTGAAGTTTAGGAGTAATTCTTAAGTGTCAGTCTTAGAGCTGATTTACAACACTTTGCTGTGCCGCAAAGCTGATCCTGGATGATGTTGTTAGAAAAAACACTGGCATGGACCAATCACTGCATCAAGTATATTGTAGGAGAAATGTCAAGATAAAACTGAAAACCCTAAGATAAGTTCACTTTCAAAACACTAATGTTGTCAACTTGTACTGTTGTCTGTAAATTACATAAAATGTCTGCATTTACATCTTGAGAACAGACGAAAATCTCAGATTTTTTTTTAAATCAAAAACTCAGCCAGCTTTCTAGTTTTTTATGTCTCACAGACTGAGGTAATGTTGAACTGCTCCCTTCTCCTCCTCCTCCTCTCCACTGTCCGCAGACAACACCCACTTCACACACAGACACACTGAAACGCACACAACCCCGCTCCGTCATTAACAGTTTGGTCCATGAGCGTCCCCACCCCATAGTTGTATTGTGTGACAGTTAAGAACATGTAATAAACAGAAAGTTCAATCCATCATAATTTCTTACTTTTTTTGCAGTGTGTGTGTGTGTCTGTGGGGGATTCACATTTTTTTTTAGTTTAGTTTAGTTGCACAGTAAAAAAATACAAATCAGTTGAAAGAAAAAAAAGACAATGACAGTGTAGGGAGAGGCAAAAAGCCTAATAGGCTTATATGAAGCCTCCATCGGAAAAATAAAAATACACTGAGCCAACAATAAAATCCATCAATTACTTAAATCACAAACATTTTAAGCAAAATGTATAACAATAAAAGGTATTTAAAAGAAAAAAATCACAATCACATTTTAATTACGTACAATTTAAGAGAACGTTAAAATTGTTTAACAGAGGGCCTGCTGTTTGCTAAATGAGAATATTCACTCCAAAGTATTGTTCCCCTATATCGGACAGAAAACTGACTTCTTCTGGTCTGACATTTAGGAAGATGAAGTGCTGAGCATTGATGAGTTAAGTAAGAATGAAATTGCATATTTAATTTAAAATAATGAATAAAGTGCATTGGCATACTCTGTTCTCTTTCAGAAATCCTATAAATGAAAACACAAATTTGAAAAATGTTTATGTTATAAACTGTAAGAATCTGTAGATCTCTAAACAGAGGGGTAGAAGGACAACAAAGGTCTAATCGAGCTACAATTCTAACAAAGTGTTTTTGAAGAATAAAATTTTCTGTAGTGCTGAAGGGAAAGTACTTCCCCAAACTATATTACAATAACATAAACATGGGTATATCAAACTATAATAAAGTGTAAGCAAACATTCTGTATTGATGTAATGACTAACCCTCTTAATTATGTCAACAGATTTATTCAATTTGCTACAAATCCTATAATACGATCTTTCCACCTTAAATTCTCATCAACAATAACTCCAAAAAATGATGTTGATGATACTTGTGGTATCTTTATACCATCAATAGCAATTTCTAAACTTTTTTTATTTTCAGTGTATGACTGTTTGCCACTAAAAATAATCAAATTTGATTTTTTTTTAAGATTTAAGGACGGTTTATTTAATCTGAACCATAATGCATAAGCACTCAAACCAAGATTAGCATTATTCAAAAGCAAATGAAGATTTGAATGGGATAAAAACAAGGTTGTATCATCAGCAAACATAATTGGAGAAAGAAGGTCTGTAACATTTGATAAGACATTTATGTAAATCAAGAATAACAAATGCCCAAGAACGGACCCTTGCGGAACTCCACAAAGTATCTTAGCTCTGTTAGAATCGCAACGCTTAAAACAAACAAATTGTTGTCTATTGCTGATATAGCTACTGTATTTAACCATCTGTAAACAGTTCCATGAAAACCATACCTATAAAGTTTCTTCATTAGAATATGATGATTGACAGTGTCAAATGCTTTTGATAAATCAATGAAGATACTACAAGAGAATTCATTTACTTCAAGTGCAGAGGTCACTTTGTCAACCAGATGACGTAAAGCCATATATGTAGAGTGATTTTTTTCTAAAGTCATATTGGTGCTCATAAAGAACTGAATTACTGAATTGATGAGTTTATGTGTTGAAGTTGATTTTTGAAAATAAGGGACACATAAGTGTTTTTTCCTTCCCTCTGCACCCTTTTAATTCAGGGTAGGGTTTACTTTGTTTTTTAATGCTGTACATATTGTTTTGTTCTTATGAATCAATGAAACAAATAAATAGACATCTCAATATATTTTGACATGGCAAAATACCTATATCTCTAATTATATTTTGAATAGTATAAATAACATTAGATATATCATTAGGTTGTACGGAGACTCCAGTTCAAGATATCTTAAATGTATCTTTAGATATGAGATTCACTATATAAGATTTAATTAATGCAAATTTCAGACTTTTTCATGTTCTATAAATTGGATTTAAAACAAAGCTGCTGCTGTTGATCATACCATTTTCATAAGCAGCCCTCCCAAGACCAATACGGGAAACACTGGAAAGTAGGGTTGGGCATAATCGTATTGTGTGCAATTAATTGTCAGAAAAACTTTAATCGATTATTTTTTGGCACTTGATGATTAATATGATTGATGCCACCAGGCAGAGTCCGGTGCTCCTCTCCGCTTCAAATATGACGAACATTAAAAAAAAAAGTTCTGTAATTTATTTATCTGTCAACACAATTTAAAATTTGATGTATAGCCTGAAGTCTGTAATTTTGACACAATTTGGAATAGATTTTTACAGAGAGCAAATCTTTCTCGCTAAATTGGTCATGTGACTAGGACATAAGGGCAAGTAACACAAATAAAAACCTTGTTGAACCCTGGTCATGTCCTCTGGAAATGACATCCTGGCAAAAAGGGAAGTGACCTCACCTATTCTGGGTGACTCTGCTCTCATACAGGGGAGTCCTGCAGGCTTAAATGTAAAAACATTTTGTGTTTGGTTGTGTTGTTTTAGTGCAAGGCGTGTAAGTAAACAGACCCTTGGCAGCTGCTGTTCTTTCTAAAATCACAACTTAATCACAGAATTAGATACAAAATGGTTCCACCTTGATAATAAAAATATTCTAAACTCAATAAAAATATGTATGTGTGAAGTGCATTTAAGAATAAATAAAAATCAAAGATCAATCCACATATTATCGGCATCAGCGTCAGCATCAGGGCCGGCTATGGGGCTGGGGTCGAGTTTTGGGGGTCTGGGTGGCTCTGGGGTGGGGG